GTCCACACGGAAACGCAAAAAAGGAGTTTTAAAAAATCTCAGTTTTCAGTGATTTGAAACGCCGTTTACGTGGACGAAACAGCTGCGTGTTCAAAAATACCCGTGTAGGTGCGGACGCAGCGTAAAAGAGTTAGTAGTTTATTTTATTACTACCTGTAATTTATTACAGATTACTTGTATTTGCTTAATTGTTCACTAAATGTTTGAGGTGTGAAATAAACCACAATGGAGCAAAATATGGGGGTGTGTGGTTGGAGGATGGGGGGGGGACATTTGTCTTGTAAAACAAAGGGGGCCCAGCAAAGTTTGGGAACCACTGCCCTACTGTAAGACTGTGCTGTACATTGTTATATATAGTGGGGGGTTATTAGTAATGACCATCAACAATGTGATGTCATGTGTTTAAACAAGAAAGGTTTATTAATCGAAAATGATTTTATTAAAATAGACATATCATCATGTTCACATGTTCAAAGCCTCAGGTGTCCTCGGGGTCGGTGTATCTCTGTTGTTGTTCATTGTGGTAGGTGATGGACTTTGTAGTCATAGAGAGGACAAGAATCAAATCCTGTGGTCTGAAGATCGCAGCTCTTCTGTTTTTAGATGATGCAGTTGATGCATTTGGCTTCATTGAGCTCATGCAAAGGTGGTTTACGGCCAAATATTGTGGCTGCAATGACAGTTAGCATCTTCGCAGGCCTTTTCCACGAGTGAGGGAAGGAAGGAGCAGGAGATCGATGGACTAACGGATGTAGCATCTGCAGTGTGTTAGTCTGAATCATAAGGTACCAGCAGAGGTGGCTCACAGTTTGTAGCATAAAGGTCTGAATGAACTGAGACTTACTGCTGTTTTCTGTGTTTCTATATTGGACATGAAATCTTATGATATATTCGATCATAAGATTTCATGTCCGTCAAAATGTATAAACGTCCCAAGATCCAGTTGCCTGCTCTTGTGCTTGGATACAGTATGCATTGGTATATATTTTTCTGTACCATTTATTTTTGTGCAGGAATTATATTAATTATGGAATTCTGTTATGGGCTTATAAGATAGTGAAACTAACATTTAGGAGCCAAATTACCGCTCAGTGGATGCTCAACGCAGTCGAGATTTGTGAAGCTGATGAGAAACATCTTGACACTAAGACCTTACCTGATAGAAGACTGCAGGTGTCGAGCAAAGGTTTTGTTCTCTGTCCTCACGTCTTTGTCAATGGGAAAAATTCCTCCAAACAAAATATCTCCTGGAACTGGAACTCCTGGTTTCCTGGTATCCATTCCAGTAGCATGTCCACTTTGCAGGCTAATAACAAAAAAATATAAAACACCAATAGCATGTAAGAGTCCTGACCATCACACTGTCCTGAGTGTGTTTCCTCGTTATTGGCTCTTAAAAAGTTTTTCCTTCTTCCGCTGAAGTTCAAAACTCTTTTCTGACAAAGTTGTATTTTTACTCAGTTGTATATAGAATTTGTATTCTATTTTTATCCTATTGTATATTTTATTCTATTTTATTCTACTGTATATAGTATTTTATTCTATTCTGTACAGTTGTGTACAGTATTTATTCTTATTGTATTCTAATTTTTGCTATATAACTTTTGCACTGTCCACTTCCTGCTGTGACAAAACAAATCTCCCACGTGTGGGACTAATAAAGGTTATCTTATCTTATTACAAACTCCCTTTGGATTAGGATAAAAGAAACCAACAGCACACCGAGCATCTGTTCTGCTGAAGCAGCCTTATAATATTTTTGCTATTTGTTTACTGTGTCTTGTTAACCACAGAGCCAGCCGGGAGTTCCTAAAGGTTCGTTATTTTAAGTCAGCCTTGACAGAAAAACCCACTGTTACAGTTTGTCTGGATCCATGGTTGTGTTGAGTCAACCATGTCCACTCCAGGCCGCTAGGTGGCAGCGCTGCATTAACACTGTCACAACTCCGGGCAGCACAAACGCGTCAACTGTCCGGAAACAAAAACTGTACCTGCGGAAAAGGGAACATGGAAGCGGCAGTGTTCATTTTGTCTCTTGTGGATTGTTGTGCGCTGATTTTCCTCTCCGTTTACTTCGTATCCTTTTCGATTCAGTGAGTCGGACGACGGTGATCGTCTGCGTCAAAGCGGTTTTCTGTCCGAGAGCTTTGCTGAAGTCGTCTCTGTATAAAAAGCTAATTTATTAGCAGCCAGCTAGCTTGTTAGCCGCCTTGTTTTGAGCGTTGTAGTCGGGCTAGTGTGACGGAATAAGTGTTTGAAAGTTTGTAGAGTGTTTTGAGTTAGGAGTCACGAAGAGCCGCTATCTGCAAATATCTGTACTGATAGTTTAATTTCACACTGTCGGCTTTTATATTTCAGTCCCACGCAGCGCAGCGCTTGGTGACCCACGCAGCGCTGCGGTGCGTGGGTCACCCAGCGCTGCGTGGGTCCACTGTTGCTGGACCGATCGGCGATGAAAAATTGGGCCAGTATGTGTATATATATTTAAAGGATAATCGAAGGAGCCACAGTCGAGGCCCTGAACGCAACACAGCACTTTGTACCTTAACTTGAAATATAGATTATAACCTTGTCTGACCTAGAATGTGACTACATCAATGCTCGAGCCTGCTGTTCCAAGCTAAACAAAGTAAGTCTCCTTTGTCTTATTGATTTCATAGATATGGTTGATGATGCGGTTGATCTTTTACCATCGCTTATGAAATAATCATCGCTCCTTTTCTTTTTGTAACCGACTGTAAAGAGATCATTTTCACACTGATTTCTAATCTGTAATTCAAATGTTTGTTTGGTGTTTGTTTGATGTTTAGTGGGTGATTCCAGAGATGGTTGCCCAGTGTCTTTCCACCATGCTCATGCTGGTCTCGATGCACTGGTTCATCCTCCTCCTCAACCTGCCTGTAGCAGCCTGGAACATTTACAGGTATGCCCATCCAGTCTCAGCATCAGTTGGTCCACCACACGTGCATGTCGGCGATCCTTTCTCTTTTGTACTTGTTCCTTTTATGTCACGTGGTTGGAAAAATAAAGCAGCAATGATAGGGCCCTCATCCAAGAGGCTTCTTGGGTTCTGAAGGTAAAAATCCCAATATTTAAAGTGGACCTGAAACATTGCATGTATACAGGCTAACATGACTAACTGTGTGTGTAGCTGGATTTAGGAAATAAGTGCTTTAAAACATGTTTAGTGCCATCTAGTGTCGGTACGTGATCTCACCAGGTTGGCTGGTTGGTGCTAATGCTGCTTACATTCATTTGTTAGCAAACTAGTGACCAAAACAACAGCTGAGGGGAACATAAGGACACCAAAACTCAAGATGAGTCTGTGGGCATCACTGCTGCACTGAAACAGGAAGTGTTAGCTGTAATGTCCAGTTCTGTAAAGCACTTTATAAATGAGACCTGTGTGGAGGAGAGCCAGTTTGAGTCACCAGACCAACCAGCTGCACTGTGACACTGGTATGTTCCTCGCCAGGCTGGATGCACCGCGCCGTACGAGCTCCAGATAAAGCAATGCAGTCGTTGTCATTTCATACAGTCTCAGAAAGTGTCTCTTCCTGTGCTTCAACAAGATACATAGTTGTGTTTGTGGTGTGCACGTAGGAACCTGTTGTTTTACTGCTTTGCTTGGGAGACGATTAAATGGAGCTGATCACATGACTGCACCGCTCGCTACATCCAGACTCAAACAGGCTCCTCTACACACCTCTCATTTAACCCCACGGTATAAAACTGAACATTACAGCTAACAGCTGGATGTCTCCTGAAGCACTTCCTGCTGAACACAGAGTGAAAGTGGACAGTACATCCTTATATTTGTTAACATGAAACTCCTCGTTGTTGGTTCTGTCACTAGTTGGTTAATAAACTGATGCAAGTCCATTAGCAGCAACTAACCAATCAGAGGATGTCATGTTCTGTACTGGCACAAAACGTGTAAAACTTTAAGCACTTATTTCCTAAAGGAGTCGAGCTTTCCAAGCTTAAGACTGGCATGACCTGAGAACCTACACAGACCTGACAAAAGTCAGAGCTCGTTCCTACAACAAGTCCTGCCGTTAATGATCAACTATCTCTAATAATCAGCTATGTACCACAGGCCTTCAAGCTGTAGTTAAACCTTTACTCAAAAAGCATCTCTAGACCCAGCAGTCTTAGCTAATTATAGGCCAATCTCCAACCTTCCTTTCATATCAAACATCCTTGAAAGAGTAGTTGTCAAACAGCTAACAGATCATCTGCAGAGGAATGGTTTATTTGAAGAGTTTCAGTCAGGTTTCAGAGTTCATCACAGCACAGAAACAGCTTTAGTGAAGGTTACAAATGATCTTCTTATGGCCTCTGACAGTGGACTCATCTCTGTGCTTGTCCTTCTTGACCTTAGTGCAGCATTCGATACTGTTGACCATAATATCCTATTAGAGCAGCTGTAGGTGTTACAGGTACTGTGCTGCAGTGTACAATGTGTTGAATCTTATCTTAATGACCATTAGAGCACTTTGCTCTCAGACTCTCGTGGACTTTGAACATCTAGAAAGCCGAGGAGCTGCAGTTGGTTACCAAAATAAAGGTTTGATAGAATGTACTGCACCGTTCTTCAAACTTTTACACAAAGAGCGACAAATGAATCGTTTCATCCAGCGAGTGGCAGAAGCTCTTCCTTCTCATGTTCTATCAGAGAGCAGAGTTATCCTGACACCTTAACATAACCAGCGACTAACCTTTCAGTCACAAACGATCAGCTGGAGCAGTCGTGCTGGTGCTCAGAGCTGGGTGAATCATCTTGATCCATTTCACCCTGCAGGTACTTGAAGGTTCCGATGGGGAACATGGGAGTGTTTGACCCAACGGAGATCCACAACCGAGGTCTGCTCAAGTCTCACATGAAGGAGGCCATGATTAAACTGGGCTACCACCTGCTCTGCTTCTTCATCTATCTGTACAGGTGACACAAGCACGCTTTGCTCACACGTCCAGGGCCGTCTCAGCTGTTTGCACTCACATCTCCCACTTTTGTTTTCCAGCATGATCCTGGCTTTGATCAACGACTGAGCGCGGAGCAGGCCGCGGACTTCAGCTGCGTCCCCTCACATCCTGTGCTCCTGTACTGTATGCATGTCTCAGAACAACGATTACTTTTTTTGTATTGAATTCCAGAGTTTGACTTTGCCACATCGATATGGTTAATATTTAACCTCTCAACAAGACACCTTCATAGTCTCCAACAGAAAGCTCGTCTCTGCTGTGAAAAACAATCACATTTATTTTTGAACCTCTCTGTTTACCACGAAGTCATTACAACCTCAACAGCTGTTAGACATCTGCAGTGTGTTTCTTTACCAATGTCGATGAGCCCAATCCCTCCTAGTAATCAACTACGTTCAGCCTCATCACGAGTGCTTATTATTCTGGTGCTTTACACAAAGTATTGAAGGTTGCTGTAAGGACCTTGGGTCAAAGGTTGGGAGAAGAGTTGAATCAAGCTGACAGCGCAGGCCCTGCGAGGATGCTGTAGCAGCCTCAGTTATGGCTCCTTCCTGTGTGCTCAGACATTCTTCTTCTCTCCTCGCTGGTCGCTCTTGTGCACCGATGTGATGCGACCCCTGTAATAACTATAACACTAACAAATTGTACTGTTTGTGCCACACGTAATGACTTTTCCCAGCTGGTGATTCAATCAGGTTCAGTTAACGTGGTCCTTTATGGTGAGTGCTCTGCTTCCTGTCAGGGTGTAATGACCTCCAACAACTAATAAGATGTTTCTGTGATGCTGTTGCTGCAGTCGATCCTCAGCAGCGTCGTGAGTGCACTGAGTTAAGAGGCAGTCGGATTCTGATTGTTTGATTGGCAAAGTTTTATTCTTCGGGGAAATGTTTGAAAGTTCTTGTTGTGTCAACATAATCCTTTTTTTTTAAGTGAACATTGAACTACTTCTGTCAAATCAACCCAATAAATATCTCAAACTCTCCGTCAGGTTCAGAGGTTTTTGTCAGTGTTTTGTAACTCAGAGTTTCTCTTATTGTCTGCACCAATACAGATCAATGAAAGTGGCTGTCGTTGTGTATTTTATTGTGTGGTTTGCGTACGTGCACTCAGCTGCTGCTCTTTGATTTCAACACTTTCCAACAAACAGATTTACTGACAGTTTTCCAACGTTGACCTCAGCTGTGTGATCGCACTGAGGTGTAGTTGAGGTAACTGATCCAGTTCTGAGACTTATTCTGCATACAGGACCAACCACACACACACACACACACACACACACACACACACACACACACACACACAGAGTCTCTTCACCTGTTGCAGTCGTGTGCTGTACCAACAGGAACCTGAATAAATCTTTTCGTTCCGTTACACTTCCTGTCATTCCTGTGATGAAGGCGTCTGTACGTGTAATTGAAAAGCTTCATTTTGAGTAAGAAGCTGAGATGTGCAGATTTCTCATCACCACAGTGAAACTAAAGCTGACTCTGAGGTGCAGAAACTGGCCGTTTATCTCCAAACAACTTCAGTCTGCACATTTCTGCTTTTTTCTCAAAATAATTTTCAACTTAACTTTGAAATTTCAACTTTATTCTCAACATGATCAATGACATATTTTTCTTGATGTAACCTTAGTCCTCTGTACTGTTGTACAGCAGCTTTTTAAATGTATTTCATCAGGAGATGAAGAACTTCTTCTGTTTGTTTTTGAAAAAGTATTTTTGTTTGCCGTCTCTCTGCTGGACGTCCAATCATTATTTGATTATATTTTAGATTTTTATAGTTTTGATTAAAAGTTTAAG